AAGAAAATGTTCTCAGTTGGCCTCAAAACTAAAGATGTCTTCTGTGTATTTGGTAAGGAAAAAAATCCTGGTAATTTGGTGCCATGTATTTGTTACCTGAGAGTCAGACTTGATCTGGGAAATACAAGGAACTGATAGGAAGCCTGAGCTCCTGTGGTGTGGCTGGCTATTGAAGTAAGGATTTTTTTTTTTTTTTTAACTTCCGAAGTGCTCTTCTATACAGCTTTGTCAGCAAACAATTTTTTTTAAATTTTCTGTGGATAAGAAAGCATCCATTCACAGCACAGTTTATTCAAGTATTTCAGATTCAAACTGTTACCTTCCTGTAACAGTCCTGTTGATCCTCACTCTAGGTCTGCCAAGTATGGAACTAACTCCTGACCCATATAAATTTCCCATCACCCACATTCCTTTTTGGGAAGTGCTGTAAAATTCCTCTAAGCCAGTAAGCTCAACTTATAAACAGCGTGCTTGGTGCTGTAGAGACATCAGCAAGAATTACAAACAGTAACCTGACTTTTATGGTGGGAAAGGCAGACACATAGATAGTTTCACCTGAGGGCAGATTTGGGCAAGTTAAAAATAGAAGTGCTGTGAAAGTGCTCCATAATCAAACTATTATTTTCCCTCATTTTTTACTTGGCATTTCCTCAGTTTGACAGTTTTGTTGTGACTGATTAAGAATTAGTGCCCTGTTGGGTTCAACTTATTTGTATTATAGACCTCGTAGCAATGGAGTTTAATAATGTACCTTATTTTGTGGTAACAAGCTCTCCGAGTCCTCACCTCCCCACCTCCACCCCAGAAAGAGCTAAGTCAGTGAATTACTATCTTTCAAATACCTACATACAATCCTGAAACACAACAGTTAGAGCCAGCTCTGAAATGTTCAGTGACTTGATCATGCCGTCTTGGGAGTCCCAAGTGCTTCATTTTCTTGTTCGTGATCGACCCTTTAGTCTTTATCCACCTCACAGCCTGTTGTTGGGCCAAGGGGCTGAAGGAAACATACATCCATTGTCTCCTGTCCTGTTAAAGGCAGGGAGGGAACGAACCTTCACCCTGCAGGACATTTGATCTGTGAAATTTGGGACTCACTGATATCTTGAAATCATTCAAGACCGGGATGGGGAATACATGTAAATCCATGGCTAATTCATTTCAATGTATGACAAAAACCACTGCAATGATGTAAAGTAATTAGCCTCCAACTAATAAAAATAAATGAAAAAAAAAAAAAAAAGTAAAAAATTTGAGACTTTCCTGGTGGTCCAGTGGCTAAGACTCCACGTTCCTAATGCATAGGGCCCAGGTTTGATCCCTGGTCAGGGAACTAGATCCCATGTGCTCCAACTAAGAGTTTTCGTGCTGCGACTAAGACCTGGTGCAGCCAAATAAATAAATATTTTTAAAAATACAGAAAATTTAAAAAAAAATACAGAAAATTCAGGTCCTCCATTACACTAGTCACATTAAGTGCTTGGTAACTACACGTGGCCAATGGCTGCCAACTGACCAACACAGTATTGTAGAGAATTCTGACGAACCCCCACAGTTTTGATACATAGTATTTCAGGTACATTTTGAGAAAAGTTGGCCTGGAAATTACCATTTTTTAATATAGTGTCCTTTAATAAAGTGCACTTTGGGTGTCATGCCATTTCTCTGCCCTCCTCCCCAAACTTTCAGGATGCCTTACTTTTTTTTTTTGTTTTTCAAGTTAGAGTATTCCTCTGTGTCCTCTGCAAAGAAAACATGCCTCCTGGAGTTTGGCCTTGGGAATAACGCAGGTGGACAACCTGTGGGCTGTGATGGACTTGTGGCTTGTGAGCCCGTTTTTTAAATCAAATATTCATTTAAAAGTTCACTTGGTATCTCTAGCTCAGAATTCATCTCAGGAAAATCAGGAGAGTGGTTTTATCCTGCTTTCCTGTCATGTTTAGAAAAGATAGTGAGTGAGCGGTGGACTTTTTAATGTAAAGTAGTTGACACGGATCTAGTTTCCAGATACTACGTTCTAATTATTCTTAGATGTAAAACATGTCAGAAGTCAGATCCACAGACGTGGAAAACAAACTTAGGGTTACCAAAGTGGAAAGGTGGGAGAGAAGGATAAGTTAGGAGCTTGTCGTTGTCGTATACACGACTATATAAAAAATAGATGACCCACAAGGACCTAGTATAGCACAGGGAGCTACACTCAATGTTTTGTAATAACCTATAAAAGAGTTAGAAAAAGAATAGATACTTGTGTGTGTATAACAGAATAACTTTGCTGTACATCTGAAACTAACATAGCATTGTAAATCAACTTAAAAAAAAAAAAAGAAATATTAAAAAACTATTTCTGAACTCTGGTCGCTGTCTCAGGCAGGTTTATGGAGAAGTTCTGCTACTTGATGGTAGCAACATGCAGAAAAAGTGTACACATGGCACCACATGTATATTCCCACACATGCATATACTGACATAAGTGTGCATATCCATACACACATACAGACATATGTGCATGCCCAGCCAGGCACATAGACACAAACCTCATTCACTTGTGTGCATACATGCATAGTACCCATATGGTAGTAATTGACACCTACATGTTTTAAGCATAAGTTAGCTTTAATGAAACAAAACTAGCAACAAAAAGTAATGTTACAGTGATTGAAACTTTTTATAATTTGAGATCTATCTATTCTGATTGTCCAGTTGTTTTTCTTTAGAAAGAAAAGTTCGCTGATGCTTCAGAGGAGGCAGTCTCTTTTCAGAGAAGTATGCAAGGTACGTCTCAGTAACATAAGAGCACTTTAGAGGAGGTCCCGTCTTCAAGCGGGAGCCAGTCTTCAGCTCAAATAAAGTCCCTGCAGTGCATAGTAACACTACATTCCCTTGGCTTCTTAAAGCCTCAAATTAATTCTTTTTATTTTTTTATGAGCAGTGTGAAATGTATATGGGTTTATTTTCAGTTTATCCCCTTCTACATTATACCTACTGTTAGATGCCAACACGTCTAACACATTAAAATATTCGCACATTAAAAAAAAATTTGAAAGGCATCGTCACTTCTCTCATACTGTCAGCCAGTCAGCCGAGCTGTGTCAGCCTTCAGTCCATGCCTTCAGCCCCCTTCCCCACCATCCTGAAGTCCCAACATGTGCTCAGTGACATGGAAAGAGCCAGCATCACATTCAGACACAGCTTACCTTCCCAAACTGCTGTCACCTCTGCAGCCTAATCATTTCACCTGAAATCTATCCTGCCTTCTAGAAATATACAGTCCAGTTTCCCAGTTGTATTAAAGGACTCACCCCTGTCAAATATACCCAAGACACATTGGGTAAGAGCAGCAGGTTACAAAATAGTATATACTCCATGGCTCCATTTATACAAACCTATGCGTGCCATTTCCTACTCCAGGGGATCTTCCCGACTCAGGGGTTGAACTTTCATTAATTACATCCCCTTGGCAGGTGGACTCTTTATGACTAACACCACCAGGGAAGCTCATATAAAACGATATGCACATGTATTCAACACTAACCCCCAACACAGATATTTGAATGGATCGTGCCCACAATATTTCTAGTAATGAACTCTGGGTGGTCAGGTTGACTCCCATTAATTTTTTCTTCTTTTTGACCTAAAGCTTGACTCATGTTAAAATGTAGATGTACTTGGGTAAAGTATCATCTTACTTAAACTTCAGTCATTGGTAGCTCTATTGAGTTTTAAGTGGAAGGAGGCAAGAGATCCCTGGAGAATGGATGTTCAGTGCCTCCCTAATCTACACATCTGGGGAGACAGAAAATTGCTTGCTCAAGCTTCTTTAGGTTCATTATATAGTGGTTTGATTTCTAATGGGATTCTTTAGTATTCCCGTGACCCCAAATCTCAAACTTTTGGTTTGATTTGATTATAAGACAGCCAAGCTTTAGGTGGCTTATTAACTCTTGAGATGTATTAAACTTTTAACTTAATCCCAAATAGAAACTGTAAGTAAATTGCACCAAAAAGAGGAACAGTTTAACGCACTGTCTTCTGAACTGGAGAAGTTGAGAGAAAGTTTAATGGGTAAGGACACATCTCTGGTTATTACAAACATTAAATATAGTAGGCTTCCTCGGATTTGAGATGATTTTAGTGTGTGGTTACAACCTATCTACTGTTCAAGCATAAAGTCTTTACTCATTGTGTTCTCTTGTGATGAAAAACTTGTTGGACGTCTGTAAACCTCAGCAAATTCCCTCTGCTTTGTTTTCAAACAAGTCAGAATCCACCACACCTCACCACTCCCAGTGCTGCTCTTCATCCCAGCCAGCCAGCATCTTTAGCCCGAGCTGCAGTAACAGCTGGCCACCTGGGCTGCCCACTTCCGCTCTTGCCCTCTTCAGTCTTAGCACAGCAGCCGAAGAGATGCTTTCAGCATCAAGTCAGACCATGTCACATCTCTGCTCAAGGTGGCCCGGTGGCACCCATCTTGCTCAGAGTAAAAGCTGTGGTCCTTAACTCCCATCAGGTCCTGTTACCTTTTTGATTTCATCCCGTGCTATTCTTCCCCAAGTTCCTTCCGCTGCAGCCATATCTGCCTCCTCGGTGATACTCGACTGTGAAGCGTGTTCCTGCCTCAGGGCCTTTCTTCTGCCTGCATTCCTCTTCCCTCACTTCCCCGAGGGTTTTACTTAAATGTCACTGTCTCAGAGAGGCTCTTTCTAAGATTTCACACTCCCCAGCTTCCTTCCTGGCTCCTGTCTCTGCTTGTATTCTTTTCCCCCTCTTAGCACTTACCACTCTCTAATACATGTTGATTCTCTGTCTTGTTCATTGTCTCTCTTCTTTGCTAGAATATAATTATCATGAGAGCAGGGATTGCTACGTACAGATAATCCCAGAGCAAGTTTTGGCATACAGGATGTAGTTAATACATTGTTGTTGGTTATAACACAACAGCTCTGTTTTATATATATATATATATATATATATATATATATATGTATGTATATTCAGATATGAAGGCAAAATTCAGAGAGAGAGATGAAAGGAAAGAGCAGCTATTAAAGGCGAAGAAAAAACTGGAAAATGACATTGCAGCAATAATGAAAATGTCTGGAGACAAGTCTTCTCAGCTGACAAAAATGAACGACGAACTACGTCTGAAAGAAAGGTATGTATGAGTATTAATAAGAGCGTCTGCTTTAGGTTAGGCTGTCAAGGAAGGTCTAGATGGGAGGAGAGCCAAACTCTTCAGGATAGTTATGTTTTAAAAGTTGCCTGTCTCTTGTCCTTTATTGTCTCAGTGTATTCTTGAATCAATTATTTAACCTTCTAAGGGGAAGATAGTAGTTTACCAATGGCAATAACATCTTTAAAAAAAAATTTTTTTTTAATTTATTAATTTGGCTGTGCTGGGTCTTAATTGTGGCATATGAACTATTAGTTGTGGCTTATGGAATCTAGTTCCCTGACCAGGGATCGAACCCAGACCCCCTGCATTGAGAGCATAGAGTCTTAGCCACTGGACCATCAGGGAAGTCCCAGGCAGTAAGTAACATCTTTCACAGGCAGTCAAAAATATTTTTAACCTATTGCAGTGTAATGATAGATAACGATTATGAAGGGCTGACCACATGCCACATGGTATGCCGACCTCTTTGTACAGAGTATGTTTTCCTGATAATCCCACGAGGTGAGTGTATCATTGTTCCCATATTAAAGAAAAAGAAATCGAGACATAATGAGGGTAGGCAACTTGCCTGAGGTTTCAAGTCTAGGCAGTCTGGTCCCAGCGCCCTCGCTGCCCTTCATCACGACTCTGTACTTCCTCAGCGCTAAAGCTTCTTACATTAAATCTCTGTCCTTGTCTTTATTCTGAGGCTCTTGTTGCTTTGATTTGTTTTAATGGCTGCTGTATAAAAATCAAATGTTTATTTTATAAGGCACATATTTTAGAAGACATGTTAGCACCATTAGACTTCTGATTCTGAAAGTGTTAACACTTGGCAGTTACATTTACATCCAGCCATGCGGGGGCTTCCCTGGTGGTCTGGTGGTTAAGACTCTTCCATTTATGCGCTTCCATTGCAGGGGGCACAGGCTTGATCCCTGGTCCGGGACCTAAGATCCCACATGGTGTGAGGTGTGGTCAAAATATAACAACAACGAAAACATTGAGCCGAGCGCTCCCACAGGGCTCCGTGGTGGTGGTGATGGGCACCTGGGCCTTGGTTGGCCGACTTTGGTCAGACTTGCCGGGAGGCGGGCACAGCTGCAAGGTGGTTGTGGCCAGAGCCTTGGAGAAGTTCCATTTCTGTCGGCGTTTTATCCAGAGTTTCCATCCAAGTTTCCCTCCGCTCATGTATGAGACAGCCCGCTCTCTAGGCTGATGGCCCTCATACATCTTCATCGGACCACAAGGTTATCTCTAAGCTAGAACTTCAAATTATTGTTATTTTCATATCTGTATTCTGAAGTGGCACCCAAATGAGTCTTACATATTCTAGTCTGCTAAAATTTGGGAACCTCTAAGTACTTACTTCCTCTAATCCGTTTCCTTTTCTCTCATCTTTCTGTATTCCTTTCTCTCATCTTTCTGTATGTGCTGTGCTGTGTTCAGTCGTGTTTGACTCTTTGCAACCCTATGGGCTGTAGCCCACCAGGCTCCTCTCCATGGGATTCTCCAGACAAGAATACTGGAGTGGGTTGCCATGCCCTGCTCCAGGGGATCTTCCCGACCCGGGGATCGAACCCAGGTCTCCTCCATTAGAGGCTGATTCGTTACTGTCTGAGCTGGACATAAAATAACGAACGTTCATGCTTAGAGTAGTTGTTACCCTAAGGTATTTATAACCATCACAGTCGTTAAAAAGTATTCTTCAGGACAAGTCAAGTCTTTTTTTTTTGCTAATTCTAGATGTTATTGCTCATAACATTTATCATCATTAAGCCAATTATTATCAATATTATCTTTTAAAGTATAACTCTATTATTTAAAGTACTTTTTGGAAAAATCTGACGCTTCATTTTGAAATTCTTTCTAGAGATGTAGAAGAATTACAGCTGAAACTCACCAAGGCTAACGAAAACACAAGCCTCCTGCAGAAAAGTATCGGGGAAGTAACTCTCAAAGCCGAACAAAGTCAGAAAGAAGCAGGTAAAAAGCATGAGGAAGAAAAGAAAGAACTGCTGAGAAAACTGTCATACCTGGTAAGGAGAGAGAGAGTCAGTGGGACTGGTGGCCAGCAGGGGCAGAGAGGGTGGCTGGCAGGACAGCTGTGGCCAGGTGACTTCCTTCTGACATGGGGTATCTGCAGGAAAAGAAGATGGAAATGAGCCGCAACGAGTGTCAAGATCTGAAAGCCAGGTACGAGGAAGCCAGTTCTGAGAGCAGAGCCAAGCACGAAGAAGTCCTGCAGAACGTCCACAAGCTGCTCCGGGACACAGAGGAGCGGCTGAAGGCTGCACAGGAGGAGAACCGCGAGCTGCTGCAGAAGCTGGAGGAGCTGGGGAAGCAAGCCGAAGGAGCCAAAGTATGTGGTGGGGAGGACCGTGTGCCCCAGTATAGTGAGCTTTGCGTCCCGCGTCAGGATTGTAAGGGTGCTTAGGAAGCAGCAGCGCGTGGAAGGGGTTCGGTGGCCTTCAGAGCACATGGCAGGAAGGGGAAGGACGTCTCCTGTGGCTTCAAGTGTTTTGTACCAGCCGCTCTCCCTTCTCAGGGTTGGTGGTGGCTACAGGTCTTTCTTTCCACCCTGAATGGACTGTGTAGCCATCACTCCCTACGCTGCTTCACAAAGAGCCTTCTGTTGCCTGAGCTCTGTCCACCTGCTTGTAATAGACTCTGTCGCGGAAAAGCATGTCCCTCTAGTCTTGGCCGTCTTGCTGCCACCTTGCACCAGGGTTAGGAGAGACATCGTGCAGAAGAGCAAGAGGCAGAGGCCACGCGTGAGGCAGGTGGGCAGGGAATGGAGCCTGGTCGGAAGAGCAGAGGAAAAAGAAGGGAGACCTCTGGAGAAAGTTTTCCTATGTCCCCAGGAAGGCAGTGAAAGCTTATTAACAAGGAAGTTGGATTGAAGGGCTGTGAGAAAACATCCTACTACTGAGTAGAGTAGAACTCGATACATTGAATTTTATTTTATGGTGTCAGGATTGTGTCAGTGTCCCAGTATGTTTCCTGACCCACTTACTGCTATTTAAATTGCTCAAAGAAAAGTAAATTATTGTCTTTAATTGTTTTTAATGTGTCAGAGAAATGTTTATATACATGTAGGAGTTGAGTAGAAATATGTGTAGGACTTAAAACAGATCCCTGATACTGGGAATGACTGGGGGCAGAAGGAGAAGTGGGTGACAGAGGATGAGATGGTTGGATGGCATCACCAACTCAATGGACATGAGTTTGAGCAAGCTCCAGGAGATAGTGAAGGACAGGGAAGCCTGGCGTGCTACAGTTCATGGGGTCACCAAGAGTCAGACATGACTCAGCGACTGAACAACAAAACAGATCCCTTTTAAATTAAATGGAATACATCATAAGATACGTCATGTGTGAAAGTGAAAGATGCTCATTCCTGTCTGATTCTTTCCGACCCCATGGTCTATATAGTCCATGGAATTCTCGAGGCCAGAATACTGGAGTGGGTAGCCTTTCCCTTCTCCAGGGGAATCTTCCCAACACAGAGATCGAACCCAGGTCTCCTGCATTGCAGGCAGATTCTTTACCAGCTGAGCTACCAGGGAAGCTACATGCTGCCCATCAAGACTTTCTCTTTTCCCTGTGAAATATCTCCAGTTTTATGAAACATTTAGTACCGGATATAATTTCCAGAATTTTGGACTTTGAGGCTCCCTTTATCTTGGTAGACACCTGTTTTCTAATGTATTCCTTAAAATGCTGCAGCCTGACCAAACCACAGCATTCTAGAGGTTTGTGTAAAGCCCCATTAATTTTGTTTGCTGTTGTTTTCGTAAGGATCATTTGGTTAAAATGCCAGAATTGTTTCCCTTCCAAAGTAGTCTGAATATCGTATTTCTGTGAACCTCAGTGTTTGTCAGCAGCAAGGGCTCAGCAGACACTTTTGAGAGCTGATGAAACCTTCAGATGTTTTCCCCAGGAAAATTGATTTACACACTTAACCAGTTTGGGGTGAAATCTCAAGAAGTTCATGGAGCCCGCGATGCTCCCATGTTCCCTAGTTTAATAGCCAGAGAACTATGCCATGCCATCCAGTACAGTAGGCACTGGATGCATGTAGCCATTTAAATATAAACTAGTTCAAGTTATTCCCCTTCTCAGTCATACGTGCCACACATGTGGTTAGTGGCTACCACAATGGACAGTGCAGATCAAATCCTTGTACATCATGACAGAAAGTTCTGGACAGCGCTGGTAGAGACACTGTGGTCAATTTATTTTATAAACCAATGCATTTTTTTAAAAGCCCATTTATTTTGGTCATCAAAGCCCAGCAAATTGGTCTGCATTTTTGTAAGTTACATGGAACATTGGGACTAAATCAGTCTCAGGCCAGGTTCTTTAGTAAGTAAGGGTCTGTAAGTTAGTTTGAAAGGCAACAGTTTATAACACCTCCTCCCTCTTCCCTTTTTTGGTTAAAATATACTCACTGTTTGTAGTTCTTTGGATTGTGTTTTTAAAAATTCTTCTATGAATCCCTCCTACGATAGAAACTACTGGATAATTGGGAACGGCAGGAAAAGAATCCCATGCCCTGATGTCACACTACTGTTTGTATCTTCTAGTTAACTGTTAGGAGTACTTCAGAGGTTGTTTCAAAGATGAATCAATAGAGTTATCAGCATTTGGCAAAGCTACAATTGCTTTGCATTATCCTTTTATGGGCTCTGTTCATCTAGTTTCTTTCCCCTGTAATCCAGATAGTTGCTATGACATTTATCATAAACTTTTTTTTAACTTCGATGACTTAGGTTATGTTAAGTTATTCGGGCTTGCATTTGTCTGCTTGATTTCATTTTGTTTCCATTCTTTCCATCTTTTGTCTCTGTAGTCGCTAACTTACTTACTAACATCAGCCAAAAGAGAAGTTGAACTAATGTCAGAAGAGCTGAGGGGTCTGAAATCAGAGAAACAGCTTCTTACCCAGGAGGGGAATGCTTTAAAGTTAGAAAAAGGTTTATTTCTGTCTCAACTTGTAGAGTTGGAGGCCAAAATAACTTTACTTCAGGAGGACCAAGAGAAGCTCTGGTCAGTTAATGAAACTCTTAATTTAGAAAAGGAGAAAGTCTGGGAAGGAAAGCAAGACATTGAAAAGCTTTATCAGCAGGAACAACTCGATAAAGCAGCTTTGGCTGTGGAGAGAGAGAAATTACTGAAAGAGATCAATATCGCGCAGGAGGACCTCTTGAAGATAAATACAGAAAACGAGTCTTTGCAGGCTTCCAAAGCAAGCTTGCAGGCACTCACAGAGGAACTGCAGTTCAGCAAAGATATTCTAATGGCTGAGTCTCAGAAGTATCGGGAAGAAAAAGACCGCCTGGAGAATCGTATCAAGAAGCTGGTCACTGAAAACGACGCATTGGTTAAAGATAAAGATGAAATTATTCGGAAGCTTCAGAGCTCCTACGAGGAGCTGGCCAAAGATCAGAAGAGCTTGGTGCAGGAGAACGAGGACCTCACAGTAGAGAAAAAGTCAACCTTGGAGAAACAGTCAGGTCTTGACAACATGTGTATAGCTCTAAAGGTCGAAAGAGATCATCTTCTTCAGAGCAGCAAAGACCTGCAGTTCGAGAAGGACATGCTGCTTCAAGATCAGGAAAAGCTGAACACCATTCTGGAGACTGCCCTCCAGGTTAAACATGTGCTTAGCACGGAAGCCGGTGAGCTCCGCGCACAGCTGGAGGAGGCCAGCAAGGCCCTGAGGAAGGCTGAGCTGGAGATTGTGCAACTGCAGGCCACGAACACGAGCCTCACAAACCTGCTGGAAGAAATTAAGACCAGCCGGGAGATCAGAAACTCCGAGTGCATTCAGCTTCTGCACGAGAAAGAGACCTTAACGTCATCCGAGAGAAGGCTCTTGGCCGAGAAAGAAGAACTGCTAAATGAAAATAGGCTAATCTCAGAAAAACTCAGCAAATACTCGGAAGAGTCTGCCCACATCGAGATGAACCTGAGTGAGAGGATCACGTACCTCACTTCTGAGAAGGAGCTGGTTTGTCAGAAAATCACCAAGCTCAAAAAGCAACAGGATATCCTCTTGAAAGAAAAATCGGTACTAGAGATGCGGAATGGGGATTTACTGGTAGAAAGAGAGAACTCCATGAAGGCCATGGAAGACCTTAAAAAGAAATATGATCAAGAAACAGCCAACAGAAGAATTGTTGTGTACGAGAAGATGAAACTGCTCAGCAAACTCGACGCTCTGAAGAAAGAACTTCAAGAGAGAGAAAAGGAAAACCAGGCGCTCACGGCCACCAAGTGCGATCTCTCACTGATGCTAAAAGAGGCCCAAAACGCCAAAAAGATGCTAGAAAAAGAACACACTGACGTACTGCAAGCCAAGGAGAGTTTAAATGCTGAAGTCAAGGCCTGCTGTTCTGAAAAGAACATCTTGTTAAGGGATGGGTTGAATCTGCAAGAAGAATGTCAGAAGTTAAACGAGAAAATCCACACAATGCAACAGTCCCTGGTGCTGGAGAAAGAAGCCAGGACGCAGGACCAAGAGTCCTCCTTGTACGAGAGCAAGAAGCTCCACAGGAGGGTGGCGCTTCTGGAGCAGGAGGTGGAGAAGCTGAGAGCCTGCACCCAGGAGCTCCAGTCCGAAAACTGCACGCTCATCCAAGATAAGACCAACTCAGAGCAGAGAATGGCTGATATCACCAAGGAGAAGGAACTCCTGAGTACAGAGACAGCGCGTCTGGCTGCCAACATAGAGACTCTGAAAACTGACTTTGCTGCCTTGTCCAAGTCCAAGTTGGAACTGCAGGAACTGCACAACTGCCTCACCAAGATGCTGGATGACCTGCAGCTGAATCACGAGGTAACCCTGGCCGAGCAGGCCAAGGTGACGCAGGACAACAGGAACCTCCTGGCCGAGAAAAGAGAGATGATGCTGGAAAAGGACGAGCTCCTGAAGGAGAAGGAGAAGCTGGCCGAAAGCTACTTCTTCCTCCAGCAAGAGATCAACCAGCTGTCCAAAACCAACAGCCACATCTTAGCCAACCTCCTGGAGTCTCAAAACGAAAACCGTATTTTGAGGAAAGACAAGAGCAAGCTCACTCTAAAAATCAGAGAGCTCGAGACTCTGCAGTCCTTAACGGTAAAGTGGGAGGTTCAGGGATTGGGCCGCTGGCCTTAACCATGTTCACTAACCCTGTAGTGGCTGAAGGAACGTGCCTTCCTTTCCAAAGAAGGAAATGCACCCCATTTAATCACTTGGTCAGATATCTCAAGCTGTTTGTCACTACCTGAATGGGCAAGCATTTACCAGATATCTAATTGCTGTCATCTCTCTCCATTAGAAAAGATTGCAAACTGTGAATAAAAAGGATAGATGTTTTTTAATTAGGGAGAATTTTTCTGAAAAGGCAACCATAGCAATACTATATCAACTAAGGATTTGTTTCCATGTGTATATTATCTTTTTTATTCACAGACATGCTTGTATTCATTGCCTACAGCTTCTCATGGACTTGGTCATTCAGTGCTTCTCATTAAACACTTGAGCCTTAAACACTGTAACCGCCCAAATAATTTCCATTTTTATTTGAAAAGTTCCCAACATTTCAAAAGCCCCAAATTCGAGATAGCAAGAAGAATATTTTAAACTTCTAACAGTAAATATGATTAAGAGGAAATTTGGCCACAGAAGGATGTAAACCTTTCTTATGAAGTGAACATTTCTCTCAAACATAAGTCAGAGTGATGAACACCATTGTCAGTGGAACTCAAAACTTAGAAGGCGTAGGTTTATAGGGATCTGAAAATTCGTAAATTGCACATTTCAGTTTGGCTTGTTGAAAAATGGCACAGAAAGTGTCTATAACTTTGTGCTGCTTGTTCGTCTTGGTCTGTCTTGGCATGGGGTTGGTTACCAGCTCATCGTCTCTGTGTGATTCCCTTCACCACACAGATCCTGAGCCTCGTGGCCTGAGCGTTAGTCACCCCCTCCCAGGTTGATAAGAGGTGCCCTCATTTCTCACACTGCTTTCTCACACTTAGGCCACTCAAACCACTGGAGATGCCATGCAGATAAGGGAACAGATGACCAAAGAGGAGACCGAAATGCTGGCCTCCTTGGAAGATTCCAGGCAAACAGATGAAAAACTGAAGAATGAAGTAATCAGATTTAAATGGCTTTTTGTACAAAGGACAGCCTGTCGACTTCATGGAATTCTTGATGACTAACTCAGGATGGTTTATTTACTTTTTTTTTTTGAAGTATGGCCTTACACAGATTTGATCTGTGTTAGTGGAGTTGCATGTACACCAGGATGATGATCTTATGAAATAAAGTGTATTACTTCATTACCTATTTAGTAAGATCAACCTTTAAAAAAGGAGGGGAAAACCCTGGTAGTGTGGGTTTCTGCGATAGTTGTTCATTGACACAACTACTGTGAGGAGATACCAGTGGCATTCTCTAGCTTTTGTGTTTTTTATCTTAAATCACGTGCATTTTTTTTTTCTCCCAACTGCCTTCCAACTTTGAGCTACCGGATTCCATCCCTCAGCCCTGAGTTTGACGTAGGCCTTTTTCTTGGCCTATTTCAGTACTGCCTCCCTTATATCTCATTCTGAATCAGTCACTTCTGGGTCTCAGACAGATTTGTGGTGTCAGGGTAATTTTGATTCTGTCCAAAAGTAGCATTTCTCATCCTTGCACCTCTCTTTTGATTCCCGCCCGCCCCCCTCCCCACACCCCATACCAGCCCTTTCTTTCTTTGGAAAGCTGTTACGTAAATCCAAAGCAGATTGCTTCGCCAAAATAGTTATGTGAAGTTCTATAGAACTTCAGATGCTTTTTAAAGTGACAGTCAGGTGAGATGTTAAAAAGTTAAAGCCAGGGAAGATCCAGACAGGCATGCTGAATAGCAGTCGTAAAGATCAGACCTCCTTATGATAGCAGAGCAAGGACTGGAATCCATAAAGGCATAAACACTTTGAAATAATTAGAAGGGAAATAAAGCATGACGCAGAAAAGAGTACATTTATGATTGAGTTGACAGTGCTAAGAGAACAAGACTTAAGCTGAAGACATAAAAGTATTAAAAATTATCGATGGTAATCGATTGGAAGTTAAAGTAAATAAGATTTTAAGGAATGTCCCTAACCTTTGAAGGCAGATTGAGGGAGAATCCTGTGTTTCCATAACTTACCCCTTGGTGTCTCTTTACAGCCAGAATACAGGCTGGATGAATCATTTTCTGGTCCCACTGAACATTCCCTGAATCTGGAATGTTAGGGAGCATTAAAAGGAAGATGGTGGTGTTAAAATTTGCAGGACACTTTGCAGGGCTCCTGATTCCCAGGGCTGCTGACCGGTAGCATGTGGTAGGACAGAATGACCTCTGGCTGAAGGAGATAGCTATGCGAGTCCTAGAAAGCCAGCTTGGCACCAGGAGCACACATTGTATGATGGGTCACCCATGACAAGCTCCCCATCCCTGGGGGCTGCGTGCCTGGAACTCCAGCCACCTGCCAGAGCCGGAGGTTGGTTGTGTCCCCACTAATTCCGGTAATGTGTCCGCTTTTCCCACCAGAGGCCAGGCCATAGGCTGGCCACGTCCCACGTGGGCAGGTGATGGGACTGAATGTGAGTGAGTGCTTTTCAGTCTCGCTATGTGGCCTTTCCCTTTTCAGACTGAAGCTCAGGTGAATAATTAAATCTTTCCCATCTACAAATATCCCAGGAATTTTCATAATGAGGATTATTATATAACTTTAAATTTGGCACTGACATTGAAAAATATCATATCCTAAATTACTAGTCTTGTGGGAAGAAAGGGGTGTGTTTTCATTACAAAGAATCAGTCCTTGATGTCATGCCTTTGCAGTTTATCTCTAATGTTTTTATTTTCTAATGCATGTTTTAAGATGCATCGTACATGAATGGCAAGCTCAATGATAAATTTTGGGAATTGTGTAAAAGTGAAAGAGACCCTGTGTTGCAATTTAGTTTGACCTTTCGGCCAGGTGTACATGGAATGTCTGATTTAACCTGTGCGGGAGGTTGGAGTTTATAATAGACTTGATCATTTGTAATCTCTTCACTTGGTGATCTTTTTGTTTGTTTTTTTGCAAAGGATTTTAATTTCACCTGTCTAATGCATGTTTTCATGAATGATTTGTCTATCCACTCATGTGACTGGAAAATGAAATAATTTCATTAAGTTTTTTTCTCTTGATCTTTAAGTTGGATACACTTAAAGAAAACAACTTGAAAAACGTGGAAGAGCTGAACAAATCAAAAGAGCTTCTGATGGTAGAGAGCCAAAAAATAGAAGAATTAAAGAAAGAAATGTAAGTTTACCTGTTATGAAAGAAATTATGGAACTTATTTAAAATTGCAAAAGTAGAAACAGTGCTAATTACTTTTTTCAAGTACTTGACAAGTATATATAAAGTCAAAGTAATGATCTCCGTCCTGCCCCCACTAAACGCCATTGCAGACCTTGAGAATTCACCCCTATAACCACTCTGAAGTTGGAACTATAGCTCAGTTACAGGGTCAAAATGAAATATGTGCTGGCTGGTGAGTTACAACACTTGGAATTCAAATGTGACTAGATAAAACCTTTTGCAAATAACAAGGGGAATTAGAGCTTTTTCAAGTAGTATGTTTATATATATGTGGAATCTAGAAAAATGGTAGATGAACCTATTTGCAAGGGCAGGAATAGAGACAGAACGGACACATGGACACAGAGGGAAGGGGAGGGTGGGACAAATTGGGAGATTGGGACTGACCTATATACACTACCGTGTGTAAAACAGATAGCTAAAACAGATATAAGTCAGATTGGGACTGACTTACATACACTACTATGTGTAAAACAGATAGCCTAGCGGGAAGCTGCTGTATAGACAGGGAGCTCAGCTTGGTGCTCTGTGATGGCCTAGAGGGGTGGGATGGGGGTGGGGTGGGAGGGATGCTCAAAAGGAAGGGCTATATGTATAAATCATATATATATGATTCACGTTGTTGTACAGCAGAAACTAATACAACATTATAAAGCAACTATACCCCAATAATAACATTAAAAAAAAAATAGTATGCTTATGTGGTAGCTAATCTCAACATTAGGAAACATCAGACCGTCTATTAATTAATCCCTTAAAACTCTTTCAGTAGGGGGTGGGGGAAAGCATGCACTTTGAAGATTATCAAATAGTTTTGATTTTAAGAGTAATCTAATCTTCTGGCTGGACATTAAATGAGCAGAACTTTGAAAGCCTCTTTCTAATCCAAGTTTACTCATCAGTCTGCTGCCTATATTTTAGGCAGACAGGCTGTCCATGTTTCCTTTGTCAATACCGCCTTTCGAGTTTGGTTCTTATAACTGCTGCAGATGGTTATTTATCTGGCGCTGTAAGTGATAGTTACAGAGTAGATTTCATTTTGCTTATCTGTTCTGAGAACTGCTCTGTATCTACTCTGAACCAAACATTTAAAGCCAGTTAATCTGGTGAACATTTGAGGAAGCCCCTTCTGCTAGGTACAGTTGAGCTAGGAAGGATCCAAAAATGAATTGTATGTGGACTCTGCCCTTCAAGGGTTTGTATTATTTATTTCCAGTTCTGATCAAACAAATAGATGAGATTCAAACAGAAACAAAAGCGTCACTTCCAAAACCAAGTTGCCATCCTCAATACTATCTGTTGATCAAGCTTGGGTTAAATTAGTATATTATTTCTAGTTCTTCTGAGTTCCTAAAATCCTCCTAGAAGTGGTCTTCTCAGGGCTACTTACCTGAGGAGATGGACAGCTCACAATGCTGACAATGGATCCTTTTGTCAGTCTTAGTTTTAGTGATATTTCTCTAAAGGTATTTAAACAGCTCCCAACGGTTCCATTTACACCTATGTATATGTGTAGAGTTGTGGTGGTGGCCGGTGGGAGAGGCTTGACTCTCCAGGTCTGCTAAGGCTAAACAGCACAAATAGAAACAACTGTTGGTTTTCCTATGATGGGGAAAAAAATTCAAAGCTGTTCAGAGAGGGGAGGTTCAGCTACAGTTAAGGATCTCCCCCACCCCCATGACACAGTAGCTCTGCTGGCCTGAGGGTCTGGAGCACTACATTGACTTCAGTTCATTTATGTCACACAGGCAGCTGGTGAGGGAGGATCTGAGCGTCAGAAGATTCCCTCACCAACTTCCCTCTGCCATAATCCTACCTCTGAGCTCCCTGGGCCATACTAGGTAATGGAGGGGCAGGGCCAGAGCGGACGTATCACAGAGAGCCCCGGGGAGTAAGATAAAATCCCCCTGTCCTGCAGCACCACGCAGGAGCCTCCCGTAAGGGTCGTCACACTGGCCTAGCGTTGATATGTCCCTGTCCTCACTCAAGTCTTTCCGTTCAGTCTCCACCCCTAGTCAGCATGGGGTGGTCTCACTTCTGCCAAGAGAGTAGCTCACTGTGTGTGCCTGTCTTTGAAAGACCCCGTTGAATAACAGAAGCTGAGCCCCGCACCTGTAGGCCCACGGGAGCAAAAACCCATGGGCCGTACTACTGCCCACCTCGCCGGGGCCTGCCTTCCTCCCAGGGGCTGGGTTCCCACGTCGTGCTTCCCCGAGGGGAGAAGTTCACGTGAGGGGGGCTGCTACTGATAGTCTGCCGTTTTTCCTGGCTCGCCAGGGCTACGGGAACCTTGCCTCGTGTCAGTAGCTTGGCACAGCATGGCCAGGACTCAGAGCAGGACACGGGCAGCGGGAGACACGGCGGCGACGTTCGTGAGAAGCCTCGGGAGGGAGGTGTGAGGAGTGGGTTGAAAGCGCCCCCCCAACACACCCCCAGTGACTCATTGTTCCCTGCCTGAGACTTGGCCACATTTCAGGGACCAGCTGATGTAAATGTACTGTGTCATGAGAACACTGCTGCTCAGAAAGAGACCAGCAGTCATTTTACTGTGCTCTGAGCTGGAGAAGGAGCAGCTGTTTGTGTTTTGTGACCACATACCCGGGCTCCTCACGGCCACTGGAGCTTTTCAGGTGTTTCTCTTTACCTGCCAGGACGGGAGTTCCTGGAGGAAAAGGGACGTCTCTGCAAACCCAGGAGTTCTAATGGGAATCAGCCGTAAGAATCTTGCCCTTGGCCCTGGAAACTCAGCCCTTGCAACTAAACATTCCTTTTCCACTATGCCATTTCCTAAACTGGTTTTAGGAAAACTCTTGATTTTGGCTAGCCAGGTCCTAGTTTTAATTGGAAAGAGAACAAAATTGTCTATCTCTGGTGTGTAGCTTTTGACTCTGAGGGAAAATGATATAAGCGATCTAGTTTTTGCCTTTAATCACTCACCTGGCTGAGTAGTAAAACTAAAATATACTAGGACTTCCCTGGTGGTCCAATGGCTAAGACTAGACCCTCAATACATGGGGCCCAGGTTCAATTCCTAGTCAAGGAACTAAATCCCACATGCCACAGCTAAGACCTGGTATAACCAAATAAATAAATAAATAAATAAATAAATATTTTTAAGAAGTAGAATATGTTTAGCATGGTAATTATTAAATTTATGATAGATTCCTCAGAATGTTTGCAAGTCAGTATCAGCAGTGTTTATTTTGTGTCTCAGTTTTAAAACTGTGAGTCTTCTTTTGTTTTGCAAGATGTCGTTATATAGTAAAAAAAAAAAAAAAAAGTAACTTATAAAATTGTGAGAAATATATTTGTAGGTATTTTCAGAATTATTCCTTAGAGTATGTCCAGGAGTTGGGCTGTTGGAGCCTCCTCCATCTACGAAATGTACATATGTCCTCTGGTCTAAAGGAAAGTTGAAAGGTGTTTCTATATTCAGATCACAACTGAGGTCTGTCTGCCAGTTTTACCTCTAGTTCTCTTGATTCTACAACTTACTTGGGGCAAATCTTTTCACTTCCCTGAGCTTCAATTTTGTCCTCTTTAAAATATAAATGATAACATGAGCCTCCCTGGGCTTTGAGGATTAAATGAGAAAATGTACATGAAATCATACTGTAGATTTTAAAACATTGAACATATATCATTTGTATAAATCTTAGGACATCTTGATATCTCCTGACTCCTTGTTTTAATTTTCCTTACTGGGGGCTCTTAATGGAAACCAAGGTTTTAAAATTTTTTAAAGGATGGAAATCTGTAAGAGAGAAAGAACAGGATCAAGAACTTACCACTGATAGGCCACACAGATGCTGAGACCAAATAGCTCCTAATGAAGGTTGTGACCACTTGGGATTGAAAGGTTTGGCTTATGATGATTTTATCATAAGTAAAATCCTCTAATTTATCAAGAATTGATGGATTTTAGCCAGAAGATAAACTTTACTTGTAGTGTGTGTGTGTTGATCCATAATTGAAATCAAGCCTCCCAGCTTTTGAGTCTGAAATTCCTTCTTAGTTTTTCTTCACTTGCTAAATAAACGTCTCTGTCAAATGCCAAATTTAATGTGCTAAGAGAATTTTCGTGTCGACATACTCCCCTATATCTTCACAAGGTCAGCCCCATAGGTATGTTATAGGTACATGGAGAATTAAAAATCAAGAAAACTGCAGGTACCAAGTACTGCCACCCATTAGACAACTGAGGTTAAAAATAGACGTGTTCATGCATCAGCAGATGGAATCATACCCAGATGACTTGATTCAGAATTCAGCCACGTATGACAGCTCACTAAATGGAGTGTGGCCAGCCCAGACTTAAAATTCATAATTGCATCAAAACCACCTTCTATGGTTTAAAACTAAAATCCAACAATCCAATAAACTATTTTGAATATCCACATGTAAAGGATAACTTGGGATGTATATTTTCAGTCAAGCTTAATAATGGGAAGATGTTTAATACATGTGTTTACCCTGCTAACATTTTATATGTTGATATTCATGATATGTATGGTCAGCAAGCTGTATTTTTATTTGCTGCTTTTAATTACAGGTCAACAGTATGGAAAGAATACAATCAAAATTAAACATTTGTTTTGTAATTAGAAAACTACATTTCCTTTGGGCATTTCACCTTTAGTCGTCCTGAAAATACACCCAGATTCACAGCAACACTTGATTCTGACAAATACTAGCAAATGGAACTATGAGCTTTACATTTCTTCCAAAAAAAAAAAAAAAAATTACAGATTTGTACAGTTAGAGCAGAATACTGTGGCAGCGATGGAAATCACTGTCAACGTAGTGAATTTAATTTTCTAATGGAAACAAAGGGAATACCGGTCATTTCATCTGTCATTTATTTTAGAGAGTAACATTGCTTTTCTGTGTGGGGAGTATTTAGAAGTGGGTTAAGTGTGGGTGGTGAGAGAGTAGATGTAGTGTTGATTAGGTTTGGGAAAAAAAAATATAATAATTGCAGGCAGCAGTCGTCCCCCTAAGAGGTTAAAGCCGTTTGGCCCCTCCTGCAGGTAGACAGTACTACCTCCTGTTATTACAGATCCTGTCAGGCACGTGACCCAGATATATTTTCCCCAGTGCTGTGGAGTTGGTCGTCTCCCACAGTTTCCTTGCCTGTCTTGTTTCTATGGTAACCCCACACTTGCTGTCTTTGCAGAGAAACCCTAAGGCAGGCAGCAGCTGAGAAGTCCCAGCAGCTCTCAGCGCTGCAAGAAGAGAACGTGAAACTTAACGAGGAGCTGGAGAGGAGCAGGGACGAAGTCACCAGTCACCAAAAGGTCAGTGGGCGTCCGTTGGGGTGGGCACCCCCAGCCCTGCCAGGCCCGCATCTGCTGCTACCTTGGGCAGGGCTCGCGGAGTCCCCTCGGAGACTGTGCTTGATGTGGTTGGGTCATTCCAGTGGGATCTCAAGTCACCTGTGTTTTATATCCCCTCATTTTCAAGCATGCTGCTGTAGCACTTGGGTAGGAGTGAGTTGACAGGTCCTTTAATAAAAAAAAGAACCACTGGGAACTTGCAAGCAAGGAGAAAATAAGATTTTTATCAGATGATCTTATGGCAGTGCATTTAAATGGAAAGGGACAGTATGTTTTCCCTCCTGCCTTGGTTTCAGTTTTGTTTCTTTTCTCTTAAGATTTTTTTTTTCTTTCATTAAAATTGATTTTAAGAAGGTTCCAAGAATACAGATTTGGTGTGAAGGTTGGAAGCTGTTTTTAAATAGAACTCTGCTTTTCTTTTAAGTAAAAAACAATGTTTAAACAGCTCCTAAGGGAACTGTGTATACCTGTGCACTGATGCATTGGTTTATGAAATGTGTATTATACCTGGAATGAACTAGAAGCTAACCACAACCCACTTGTTTCCCTATTTAAATTAAAAAGGTTTCTGACAAGTTCATTAAACAGTGAAGCAAAACTGATTTTAGAGAATGCCCTATTCTTTTTTTTTAATTCTTGAATCAAAATGCTAGACTGTTAGCCACATCTGACCTCAGAGCAGAAACTAAAAAAAAAAAGCCATTTTAAAGAGAATTTTACCATGTGGTCATCATTCTTTGCTTTGCATGTCAAGGGGAAAATTTTTTTTCCCCAAGCATACTTTGCAAACATTAATTCTCATTTGGATGGAGTATTCTGGAGTAATTTGTACTGACTGTCCATTGATGTGGCGTCGTTTGTGGTGAAAGCACTCTTTGGAGAGTTGATTTCAGACTTGTAAGTCTTCATTAGAGCTCTCCACAATGACCCTCCTTTGTGGGAGAAATGGCCCATCTCTCCAGACTCCAGGATGACAAATGACGCTCTTGGTGATGATAGCTCAGACTCAGTGGCTCTTACCTTACTGTGAGACAGGCACAAATGCCTGACAGCCATCCTCCCTGTCTTCACAGTAGTTCCCATGAGCCGGCAGTGTCATCACTCCCACGTGTTAAAGAGGAAGCGGAAGCACCAGAAGGTAGTCACATGCTCAGCCTCATTCAGCCGATAGTGTCAGAGATGCGTGTCAGATTCTGATTTGGGTCAGGGAAAGAATCAGAGTGGGTTGACTTAAACAGGGTCACTGCACCCTGCTTTGGTCAGTAAGGGAGAGAGTGCGGTTCATGAAAAACAGAAGCCCTCGGACTGGACGAGGTTCTCTTCTTCCTGGCTCAAACCAGTGTGTGAAACACTGTGCACCTCTGACATCAGCGTGTCTGTAAGGACTTGAAAGGGAAGGATCTCAACTAAGTGCTGAGTCTGTTTGTCTCCTTTTATCTCATCTCACGGAACATCTTTGGTGGAGAGCGTGGATCCCACCCGTGGGAGGAACACACAGAGGTCAGCTTCTCCTCTTACGTTGTGACCTTGACTGGATCATTGATTACATTTCTCGTCTGTCACTCAGAACTGGCAAGACTTAGGAGTGACGCCTCACGGTTCCTCAGGCAGAGGTTTTCAGGGCTCCTCTCCATCCGCCAGCTCTTCCTCTTTTGCCTTGGGATTCAAATTTACCTTCCTTTTGAAAAGGTTTTGTGACTAAAAATTTGAAACTCGGAGACTTTGAAGAGTGAAGTGAAGATAGAACCTGCAAGAAGCAGCCGGGGCAGTGACTTCCATTTAAACGGGGGGTGGTTTTGTCGCTTGTGTTTTACTCTGGAGAGAGAAGCAGGCGGCTGGGAACCAAACCATGATAGGCTGTGACATGAGAGACTGTTCGTGGTGAACACTGAGGAAGACTGCAGATAACGCTTCACTTGACGTGCGTACGTCTCAAAAGAGTGGAGAGAATCTCCCCATTGAAAGTAACGTAGAAGCAACCTTAGGCTAAAGAAGATTGATTCATTCATCGGCTCTTATTACTCTTGCTACATAATCTCCAAGAGTCCAGAGATCTAGACTCCAGCAGTCTACACAAGCTGGTTACTTGTGTAAAATCACGAATTTCCACTTTGTTGCTTGCTGTGGTTGAGCCAAACTATCCATCAACTTTGTTTGGAAATATACTACAGAGTTGGGCAGAAACCCTACTTCAGAAAAAGAGCTGGGGCAGGGGGGAGACTTCCCTGGTGGTCAGTGATTAAGATTCCATGCTCCCAATGCGGGGGTCCTGGGTTCGATCCCTGGTCAGGGAGCTAGATCCTGCATGCTTCAACTGAGACCTAGCACAGCCAAATAAATTAAAAAAAAAAAAAAGAATTTTAATTATAGTGCTGTAGGAATATCCAGCGTTTCGTGCTAAAGTGAAGACAGTAAAGGCTGAATGTGGGACAGATAAACACTGACCTGGACCTGAGTTCCTTCCTGTTCCCTTTGCTCAGTGGTGCCACAGTTCGCCGACCATGTTTCAATCGCTGAGCAGGCTCCTCTGCCATTGTTTCATAGAATCATCATACCTGCAATAGTGAGGTTACATTATAGAAAGGAAGCTGAGGCTCAAACATGAAGCAATCCGCCAAGGACACACAGCCAGGCAGCAGAGGAGCCAAGATCAGAACTCATGTCTGACTAACTCGTAGGTCTGTTGGCCTGCTACTATCCTTTGCTGAGAATGAAACATTTCTTTGTACTTCATCGTTAAGTGTTAAGATTAAAAGGAAAAAGGAAAACCCTCTGAGCTAGGAATGGAGTAGGTGGGGTCAAATAGTGCTATAAAAATGTGCTTTCACTCCTACCATTACTTTTTTTCCTGCCTCAAATACTTACTTTGCTTAGAAAACCCAAGGGATCCCAGAATCCGTTCTGCATTTTAAGGCTCTTGCTGGGAATATTGGCCAAGGGTTTTTATTTCCTCAAGAAGCCCTTCGTGAAGAGAACTATTTCATTTCCTGTATGTTACTTGCAAGTGAGATGATTTGTTGCAATAAAGGAATCCCTGTGTCCCTGTGACAGTGGTTTTATCATCTTAAAAGCTGATGTAGGAAGCTCTGAAATAACGAGGGCTAGCAGAGAGCAGGACTGGCTGATGGAAGGTAGAGAGATGATCGACTCTGTGCTTCAGTAGAACCCACATCTGCCTTGATTGACACATAGGCACCATGTTCCCCCCTGGAAGAAGTGTTGGAACAGTTGGCAGGCTCACCTGCTCTGGCTCGTAGCCCTCGAGAACCCAGCTAACCAAGCCAGAAGCAGAACCCACATGTGCACATTCTTTGTGGTCTGCTCCATCAGACATTGTCCCTTCCAGTGAAAAATGGGTCTCTTAAGTCCCCTTTCCCAAGCAGGATTTTCATTTTAGGAGGGGAGGGGAGTGATAACCAAGATCAGTTAGGGTTGTGAGAGGTGGGAGTGTTGGCGTTAGCTGGTATCACCTGTGACAGAAATCCTTATAAAATGTTACAGAGTGCCTCCTCTTTTCAAAGAGGCTGTGTTAGATTGGACATCTGGAATTGCTATTGTTTTTGCAATTTCATATGACTCAACCGACTAGAGAACATAATTTATCCTTTCTTATGACTGACGGTTTTGAGGATTGTCACTATAATGCCGTGGACGGTTTGCTCTCACATTGTTTCCCGCCTGACGGCTGACTGGTTTCATGCTGCTTCGGGTTTTGGGTGTGTGCACGTGCTCAAATACACACTGCACAAATGTACTGTTTTAACCAATTTACAGTGTGCAAGTCAGTCACACTTAGCTCATTTACAGCGCTGTGAGATCATCACCTCTATCTAGAACATCTTCATGTTCCACCGCCCCCCCCCCCCCCCCCCGCCATCAAAGAAAACTCCATGTAAGCAGCCACTCCCCATTCCTCCATCCTCCCAGCCCTGCCAACCGCTAATCCATTTTTAATCCCTACATATTTGCTTATTCTGGACATTTCACGTAAGTGGCAATAGACAGTACATGTCCATTTGCATCTGGCTTCTTTCACTGAGCATAGCGTATCGAGGCGCATCCGTGCTGTAGCCTGTGTCGGGACTTCATTTCATGGCCGAGTTATATTTTACGGAAGGGAGAGACCGCATTTTGTTTGTCTACTTCAGGTGTCTGAGGCTCCTTCTCCATTCAGACTGCCTCGCATCCCTCCGAAGTCTCCATCCGTGACAGGAGCTGCTGCCTCTCGCCGCCCGTTCGGGTCTTCTGCGGGCTGGGAAGGCCTCCTCATTTTCCTAACAGCAGTGCTCAGCCTAGCCACACTGTTGACACTCGCAGCCCTGTCTTCTCCTCATCTTTACTTCCAAACTTGGAATAGTCTGTTTTCTGCTCTATTTCTCATCTCCCCGGGTTTTCCCCACTCCCTCCAGTCTGCTTCCTGCCGTTCCCAGCGCACTCTGGGGTGCACGGTGGCTTCCCTGTGGTGTCTGCACACTCGGGTGGCTCCTTGCCCCCTCTGCGGACGTTGTGACTCTCCTCCTTCAGCTTCCTCCACACCGTGTGCTCGTGTTCCTCTTGCATCTCCCACCACACCGCATCACTTGCTATTGTGTGTCTGCTTTGCCGTGTCCTCTTGGTCGTCCCCCACTTGGTGCCCTTGGCCTTGCCGCTGGTCGTCATCTCTCCTCTCCAGGTGGCCGCTGCCTTCCCTGGTTCGGGTCACAGTCTCCTTCTTGGCACTCGGAACTCAGGCTCTCTCCCCACCCAGCAATGAGACAGTAGGACTCTTAGAGCAAGACATGCAGGTTGAATGAATGAAGGAGTGAACGGGTAATGAAATAAGTTCCTCATTTTCAGCCAGGCCCTTCAGTCCTGTTTTGCAGAATAAGATGCAGAGACTGTAAGACTTGCCCCTTCCACTTTTCTCACACAAGTCCACTCACTTCCAGTCTCCTGACTTTGTTGCAGAGAGTTCATGGTTG